GCCCGGAGCGCGGGGGGCTGGCACCGGGCTGTTGGCCGTGCGCGGTCCCGGGCCCGCGCCCTCGGCCTGCGAGCCTGTGGTCAGCTCCGCCCTGCTGTTGACCGAGTGGCCTCGCCTCTTCCTCCCGCCCTCTGGCCTCCAGTCAGGCCAGGACACCGCGGGCTGTCCCGTCACCATGTCCGTTCTAAGTTTCACGCTAGACCTGCACTGATTCGGGCATGGCGCCCACGCATCTTCCCTAAAGGGCGACGGTGAGTGAGCCTGAGCCCCACTGGAAGACCACACCCCCGTTTACAAGCGTTTCTTGAACTGAGAAGAGGGATTTGACTCTCCCGTGGATCCAGCTTACAGGGGATCTGCTCTTTGCCAGGCCCTGGGCTGGGTGCTAGGGTGTATCTCTTTGAACAAGGATTTTATCAAAGAAAAGGCAGGTTAATCTCTCTTAAGACACTCATCTGTCAGCACCTCAAAGTAAGTCATGGTGATGCTTTTACACCCAAAGCCTAAAAAAATCCCATGTGCCACCCCCACACCCTGGAAAGAATCAAGGAACCTAAGTAGCACTGGAAGTAAAGGGGCCGCTGCGGGGTAGGAACTGCTCTAAAAGTCGACAGCATCTTCATTTTGTTCTGAAAACTTTGCTCTCTGGACTCAGACTTGGGACATGGGACAGGAAAATGTGTCAGCCTCAGGCTCAGAACTTTTCTACCCTGATGCTTTCTGCGAAGAACACTCAAAGTATCAGAGCTTCTACCACCATCAAGTCAGATGTGTTTTAATTATTCTTTCTTATAAAGGAGGAAGCCTTGGAGAGCGAGGACTTGGCATCAGCCCATTGCGCACCTCTCTGAAGAAAACATTCTGTAGCTTCTCGTGTTTCAAGCATCATCAGCACTATGAGGATAAACGTTTGGGGTTTTCCACTCTTGAAAACAGTTCGTAGAACATAAAGCAATGCATTTGAATTCTGAAGAGTAAGCATCACTAACTTTTTCCTACACACTTTAAAAAGCAGACCTAAAACCCTGCTTTTCCTGTCCCTGATGGAGGAGGAGACCCCATCAGCCTCTTGTGATGGCAAAAGGACTCAGGCAGCACTTTCTAAAAGGAAGGAGATGGTGAAGTCCCATGTCCTAACTGTTGAAAATACAGTGAACTGTTATCTGAACATCTAAAATAACATAGTGAGTGGTTCCTAAATGAGCACTAGAAACAGCACAGGACCACTGCAGGCAGCCTGGCTCCCAGCATCTTACTGAGGGCTCTGGGCAGCAGGAACCTTGGAACCTGCAGAAAGTAATGACGTGGGAAAAAAGGTGGAGGGGTCTTGGGTTTGGGGTTTTTTTTTTCCTGCTATGGGGTGGGGGATGAAAGAGTTTCCTCTTACCCCTGACCACTCCCTCCCCTCCAACAGATACAAAACAGAGGCTGGATTTCATGTGCGCAAGCTAGCTGACTGTTTCAGAGGGGCACTGGGACCTGAGCAAGAGTGGGACAGTGAGTCAGGGCTGGATGCCCCACTTCATCGAAGAGGGGGACCTGGGCTGGCCTCAGGATGTCTGTGGGTGCTAGGGAGGTGCAGTGGGTGGACATCAGAGTCCAGACAGATGGTGGGCCAACCCTAAGAAGCTGTGCATGGACACAAGGGAAGTGCTTGAGAACACACACTCCCAGTCTCCTTAGACTGAGCAAGCTGCGGAGCTTCCCACCTGGGGAGGGACCACCCCCCCCAAACTGCTTGAAGCTGAACATCTTTCCAGTGCTCCCCACACTGGCGTTGTCCAAGAATTCATACAGTCCAAGTCGGTAATTTTTTACTAACAAAATTGCTTTAATTTGGGAAATGTTCAAGGAAATAAATTAATGAAATACCCTGGTCATCAGTTCTATAAGCTCTACCTATGCGATGAGCATAGACTGAGTCAGAGGAAACAAGACATATGCACGTGTACAGAAGGGACGAGTTTGAAGAGGCCTGTGTGCCTTTCAGCTCACAGCACGAAACTCGACTGGACTCTGCAGTGTTCCAAGGTCACGAGAGAAATGAACTCCATGTCTCCTTTATAAACCTGAAATGATATAGCACCACTGGCTTTTGTTCTGGCATTTATCAAACTCATGAGTTTCTAGGTGAACTGGGCTCCATCCTGAGGATTACTTTCCCTGAATGGACGGGGCCTGTTAGGGGGCGCCCCTGGCTCTGGTTGCTGAGCTGCCTCACTGGGGCTCCTGCTCTCCATCTCCAGACTCACAGTGGACAGGACTCCGCTTTCTGAAGAAAGAAGATGATATTTTATCACATGCTAACAACACACGATTCTCAAACACTTTGCTCCTCTCTGGAAGAATTCCTAGGAGCCAAAGACATCACATGGACCCTTCAAAACCCAACAGGCACAGCCCCTGAGTTCCTGGACTGCTGAGGTGCTGCAGGGCTTCCACGCCCAGAGCCATCAACACCAGCTGGGCCTGCCTGCTCAGAGCAGTGGTGACAAGACTCACGGCTGCTCCTGCCTGCTATGTGGCCAGGAGCCTCCTGAACAGCCAGGACCCCCAGGGTATTGCACTCGTCTGTGGCCTTATCATTCCCTCAAACCATTGCAACTGCACTTGGTTCTTAAAGCCCTAGCCCTCGACCCCTCTGTAGGTGCCACATCGTCATAGGCTCCCATGGGCACTCCCCGAGCCCTCCATGGCCCACAGCCAAGCTCTGAACCTGGTGGCATTCAAGGGCCTCTGAAGCTGAACCTAGCCCCAGTTGTTCCACAGGTGTAAACCCAGGACAGCATGGACCCAGAAGGCAGCCTGGGGAAGCTCCTTGCCCTCCCTGGTTCACAGGCCACGCCTCTCACCTGGCTTATTTATTCCACACACCTCCTCCCAGGTGTAGTCAGCAAGGTTCACGGGCTGTGTCACCCAGGGGTCTGTGACCAGCTTCTCCAAGGTGGTGCGCTGCTCGGGGACAGGCTGCAGCAGCCCAGACATGAGGTTCATGAGATCTGGGGACATAAAAACCCGCCCTAGACATGGGGCTGGGAGACCATCAGTGGTCCAGGCTAGGGTCAAGTGGAAGGCATCTCAAAACCACAGGTCCTCTCTGCCCCCATGAGCACCTCCGACTGCGCAGGAGATAGCCCTGGAACCCCCATTTTTAACTAGTATCTCAGGGTTTGGGGCACACGTGGCCTCCAGCTGCACTTTGAGAAAGGCTGCAAGAGCCACCTGTCACCTCTGAAATGAGAGCTAGGAGTTTGAGATCCTGCCTCCATCACTCAATGCATGGAGGTCCCTAACCATGGCCTGTTCTCGGGGGCTCTGGCTGTGTGGAGCCAAGAATGACAGGGCTGGTGTCACAGGACAGGGCAGGGAGGCAGCACAGGAGTCCTAGGACCCAGAGGTCAGCGAAGCCCTGCAGTCCTCTCCTGGGCCACTATCGGCTGACTATCACCCCTCAAACACCCATGCCGCAGCCCTGCCTCATGGTAGGAGGAGGGGCCTTTGGGAGGTTACCAGGGTAATTGGATGAGGCCCATGTGATGGGGTTATCACCCTTATGAGGAGAGAGGCCAGAAAGCTCACTCTGTCCCTCTCCACCACGTGAGGACGCATAGAACAGGCTGCCGTCTACAGGATGGGAAGAGGCTCTCACCAGGAGCTGAACGGGCCAGCGCCTAGACCTCGGACTCCCAGCCTCCAGACTGAGAAGTAAACGTCTGCTGTTTGAGCCCCTCGTCTGTGTGAGTGTTGTGGCCACCTGAGCGACTGAGACACAGGCTTCCTACCCAAGCAAAGAATCAAGGCACAGACTTCATGCATGAAGACACTTGTCACCTCAGTACTTGTAACAATAAGTGGCGACTGTGGAATCACAAAAGGTCAAGATTGGAAGGGACCTCAGAACCCTGTGGGCCAGCTGAAGAATCGGGAAGTCCTTTCCGGCCACAAGCCCACATCTGCCTCCCTGTGCTGGTCCTCACTTCAGAAGCAAATGGAGCTCACACTGCTGGCCTATGGGGAGCTCAAGGTGTAAGTGACACCCCTAGGCTTCCTTCCACGGAGCTGTTGGGGGTCGAGTCCCTCCACTGTCCCCCCTCCCCACTGATGGTCACTGCCATGGCCAGGCCCACAAGCGCTAAGGTCTGTCTCTCAGAAGACCGGCCCTGTGATCCAAAGGGGAAGCTCATAGGAATAGAATTATTGTGATGTTTTAAAGTCAGATTCTGATCATCCTGTTCAGATCAAATATGAGAGGGGTGGAGAGAGAGAGGGTGAGGCATCAGCTGTGACAACAGCTCTGGGAGACAGAAGGCAGGGAGGGATGCCGGCTGCGGCCCTGCTCACCTTGCGACACCAGGTACGGGGCATTTATTGCAGCCTCCATGGTCTCCTCCAGCTCACAGAAGGGGTTTTCCTCAAAGATGAGTGTGTACAGTGTGACTCCCAGCGACCACATCTCCAGCTCCGGCCCCTTGTATCTGACAAAAGGAAGCACTCAGCATGAGGCAGCCCAGTCAAGGCGAGTGAGCCCAGAGTCCCTAGTCACCCAAAATGCTGCCCAGTGAGGCTCGCTGTGCTCCTGACCACATCCTCAGTGTTGGGCACGTGCCAGAAAAGGAAGGAGACGCAAAGCCGGGGTGCTCAGGCAGCTGCCAGGGCAACCAAATTATATCTTAAACTCCAGGGCTCTTTGTGGACAATCCCGATCCCCCTTCACTGTGTCACTGTCTGTGGCTCTGGATGTTCACAGAGGTGATGGGGTGGTTTATTTAGCACCCCCACCCTGCTGCGGACAAAAAGCCTGAACAGACACCAGGGCAGCCCACACCCCAGGGATCGCTTCTCCCAGCGAGATGGCACCTCTGGCCAAGGTACCGTCTCCACATGGTGCTGCCTGTTGCTGATTCCCTACTCTACTGATGGCCAACCCAACATACTTTATGGGAATAGATTATTATTCCTGTCGTCAAAATAAGCCCAACTAAAGAAGACTCTTCACTTATTTGGAGAGTCCCATCTTTTGGGATTCCTTTATCTTTTCCTTAACTTCTAATTGTATAAAACTACACACGTAAAAGTTGAGAAAATCATGTAGGGAGCCCTGTACCCATTGCCCAGCTTCCCCGGCCAACCTTCCTTTGCCCACCTGCCCACTTTCCAAACACCATCCTTTATTCCTCAACACTCACTTTTCCCACCTCAAATTCACAATGCCGAGGCCCTGCAGTGTGATACATACGGGTTCCCCATGAGGACTTCAGGCGCGCAGTACTCGATCGTCCCACAGAAGGTGTAGAACAGTTTGCCCCTCTCCAAGTAAGCAGCGGAGCCAAAGTCAATGAGCTTGATGGTGAAGTCCTCAGCAATGACAATATTCTCGTCCTTGATGTCGCGGTGAAGGATGCCCTTCGAGCGCAGGTACCCCACCGCTGACACCAGCTGAAACCAGGGGGCACAGGGCTGCTTACAGAGCAGTTCACGCAAAACACGCATTTAAAACAAGGACTGATGAGCAAAAAAAGAACAGAGAAAAAACCGGTCCCTAACTCATAATGGAACAGTGACAGGAAAGACGGGTTGCCACAGACACACCCAATGGACCCGGAGGCAGAGCGCTTCCCGGCGGTGTGCTCGCCTGGCTGGCTCACGTCACCCCGACAGGCCAGCAACGGGAACACGCGACTCCTTACAAACGGCATCGTTCTTGTTACTTGTGATGAGGACATAGCATGAGATCGGCCCCCTTTGTGCCTGACACAGCTCCGTGGCCACGGGCACTGGGGGGAGTCGCAGACCTCGGGCTCCTTGCCTGTGTCACTGAGACCAGGCCTCCCGCTGCCTGCTTCTCCCACACAAACACGTGATTCTCATGTCCTATCTCCGCGCCACTGAAAAACCTCCCCAGCAGACATCTACTCACTCATCGCCCAAGCCCGACCACCTTGGGAGGAAGGACACAGCCCCCAAGCGGAAGCTACAGACACGTGGTGGCACTTTAGTGTGTGGGGGCTGGGCACTGATGGGAAGTGGCCCCAGAGAAAGCCCAAGTCCGGCCACCGGGTTCAGCAGAGTTCACACAGCAGTGTAGGGGCAGAGCTGAGCACTGACCCATGTCCCCAAACTCCTACTTCAGGGCTCTCACAGCTTCTCAAGGAGCAGTGGCAGCCACACTGGCCCCAAGGTGTGCGGACTCTCAGCCACATGGACTCAGAGCCATTCCACTGGAAAAGGCTCTGTTTCTAGGAGCCCAGGGCGATAGCCTGTGCTCTGGAAGGGTAATGTTACTGTAATGCACCACCATCCCCTGGCCCTGGGACAGCCCTTCCAGGACACCCTGCTGCACATATGCCTTAGAGTGGGTGCTCCGTGAGCCAACCTGAACAGCCACACCGCGTGGGCACCAGAACAATCCCTGCCACACAGGTGAGCGTGGTTTCCTGGTCATGAGCAGCACTCGGGTCAAACCTGTGTTGGACCTGAGAGCTGCTGGCGCACACTGAGGTTGGTGTGGGTATTCTGTGTGTGTAGATACTGTCGTCATTAACCCCACCTCCCCAGTCATTCCAGGGTGGTGTCTGGCGTCATCCTACCTTCCCTCCCTCACTTTCTCTACTTCAACCACAGAATCCTTTTCTCAAAAACTGAGGGGTAGATGCAGCCCAGAGAGGACCGAGTGTGAACCCTGATCTCTGCAGCCTCCAGAACCAAGCACCCCAGCCCACGCTCCCCACATGGCTCGGGCCGTGTCACCTGTCGGAAGATGTAACTGGCCAGAGGCTCATCCAGGTTGGGGTGGCAGTCGATGAATGCAAAGAGGTCCAGGCCGGAGCCATGCTTCTCCATCACGAGCTGGAAGAAGCCCTGGTTCTCGAATACATCCAGGACCTGGGGAGAGACAACCCAGTCCAACACTGCCCAGATGCCTTGGAAACGGTTTAGGACGTTCCCATGAGTTCCAGCAGAGCGTCACTGGACGAGAATCGGCTCCACCTTGATGATGTTGGCATGCTCCACCCTGGACAGGATCGATATCTCCAACGTGACTTTCCCAAGTGTGGGGTCCTCAATCCAACAATCCTCCAGCACCTTCTCCTTCTTAATAAACTTCACCACCACCTACAAGGAGAGCAGAGGGGAGGAGCAGCCCCATGGGACCTGGTGACCACACTGGCTCACGGCAGCAGATGGGGCCCCCACGTGTTCCTCCCTCAGCCCCCAGGGATATGAAAGAATGTGGTAATGAACTCTGTGGCACAAGGACACATGCGGTGGGTGGATGGGATGGCACCGAGCCCAGGGGCTGAGAAGCCACAGCCTCACTTGAAAGGGAGGCCCCAGAGACCTGGGAGCAGGTGTTCCCCAGAACACCCCATCTCACCCTGACTTCTCAACTGAGGACCAGGTGTCCAGGCCAAGAAAATGGAACTAGATGCCTGAGAACCAGAAAATACTCAAACACCCTTGTCCACACCCTTGTCTTGGGTTCTAAGACTAGTCAGAGCTCAGCAAGGTTGATGACAAGATCAGTGTAAGAAAAGGGGTGAGTACAATGAATGAGTCTCTTAGAAAGTGTAACAAAAAATATTCTGTTCATAAAGAAAGCAAACCCTGTAAGTTGCTGAATGGTCACCTTGCAGTGAGTGCCCACACACGGCTGAAGGAGCCACTGGGCAAGCAGTGACCGTAGGCCAGGCCTGGTCCACACTTCAGCAAGACCCTGGACAATTCGACAAACTAGAGAAAGAGCAGCATTAACTCATTGAAAGTAAGGAAGAAAATGAAAAGAAACAAGACAAACACTTGATGAGTAAAATGGACAGTTCTTTAGCAAGTCCAGGGAAAAAAAGAGCATACAGAATTCACACAGCCAGGGGGACACTGCCAGCCGCAGAAACACGCAGACAGACTGACACTATAGGCACGACGCACAGTGCCAACCATGCAGGCCTCCCGTAACTGTGACAAAGGTGTATAAATATAAATGAAAAAAAAAACAGATAAAACATGGGCAAGCCAAATTCAGCAAGGCATTAAAAGAACCTGAAAGTGCCATCGAGGCCTGATTCATTCTATTGGTAAAGGAAACACCGTATCAGTAAAGGACGTGGTGCTCTCAGCAAGTGCTGAAAAGACAGTTCATAAAACACTCATTCTTAAAAAAAATGCAGTGAACTGAAAACAAAATCTCCTCAAACAAAAGGTACTCATCAGGAAATACAAGGGTATCTGCGATGGGTGGGGAAACAGCCGGAGACGGAGGCATACCTGTCACTTCACCTCTGCAGGTCCTGCCCGGTGACAGGAGGGAAAGAAAAGAGAGGTTCAGGAGACACAAACAGAGGAGAGACCACTGTCATGACCCAGAGGAACAACTGTTCATCCAGAAAATCACAAGGGACCCACCAAACAGCTGTCAGAAGCAGGAAACAGATGCAGACTCCTGACGGCATCAGCCTAGGTACACAACTCTGCTAAAGTCCAATAAGCATGGCCCTCCTGGGATTCAGCAGGCTGGGCACACGACACAGGGCAGTGTTCGAAAGGATGGGAGGCACTGTCCCCAAGTGACAAACGCACAGGCAACTACCAGTCACCTCCCAATAGGCCTGGGACTGAGGCTCATCCAGCAGTGGGATACGTGAAAGGCCAGGACCCCGGGCCGGGGGAGAAATCCTGCAGGTCTGAGCCTGGTGCATGAAGGGACATGGGTGCCATCTGCGGTGAGTCTGAAGCAGCAAGCTGACGGCCAGGGTTGAGCATGTTGACTGCGGGGAGAGGCCTCCTCCGGGCATCCAGACCCCGCACAGGGTGGACACGTGCTGCACACGGAGGACTCCTACCCACCGAGTCCTACCCAAGGTGGCCCAGTCCCACCTCCCTCCAAAGGCCCAAGCACCTCCTTATTCTGATCCCTGTCCAGAGCAGTCCACACGAAGCCGAAGGCCCCGCTGCCCAGTGGGCTCAGCGTGCTGTACTTGTGGGAGTATGCGCCCTCACAGGCTGCTAGCCCCTCCAGCTCCCCAGCCTTGGGGGACTCCTCAAACCACGGTCTGCCTCGGAGCACCTGCACATATGAAGGAAGGCGTGAGGGACCACACCCAACCAACAGAAAGGAGGCGGCAGCAGGTGGGCCCATCACCCCACCATCCCCTGCAGCTGTGGGGTAAGCAGTCCCTGAGCCCTGGGGGGCCTACCCCTCCCGTGCCCACAGGGACCCAGCCTAAGAGCCAAACTGGACACACATGGAAGCATGTTCACACCTACCCTGCAGATGGGCATGCCAGATTTGAAATACTACATGTGGGTTAACACGTAGGACATTAGAAGACAGACAGAAACAGGGAGAGATGCTGACAGGAAGACACTTCCACTCAGAGAGGTGACCCTAAGGCTGAGCCGGCGCAGACACCCACCTCCCCCGGGCTGGGCCCAGGATGCTCACACGCCGAGTGCGAGGAGCTGGGCAGGCTGGCTAGCAGCAGACAGGTCCGCGTGGCCGAGGCCTGGTGGCGGAGCAGGAGGTCTTTCACCAGCCAGCAGCAGAACAGGGGAGCAGGGCCTTGGAGCTCCACCCGCTTCACCTCAAACTGAATACCTGAGGGGGGGCGAGAATGCACATCCCTCTGCGGACTTCCCAGCAACAGCGTCATGATGGAACGAGCATGCACTGGGCTGCACGGAGCCATCAGAGCATCCAGGGCAGGGGCAGGGGCAGGGGCCACCTGGGAAAAGCCAAGCTCAGAAGCTGCATCACCTCCACCTGGCGCAGGGCCAGCAGCCTGGCACATTCATGGCAGCCAGAGGCCAAGGGAAGCACTTCAGGGATACCTGTAGCCACCTACCGACTCGGAAAAGCCTGGAAACCTGCCCTGAACATGCTGACGGGAGAGGCTCTGCCTCGGGGGGAATGTGAACAACCCAGCAGCAGCACGGGGGCCGGCTGTGGGCCCCCGAGTTACGCTAACTATGGGCACTCCGTGTGTGTGTGTGTGTGTATGTGTGTGTACGTATGTGTGTGTGGGTGTGTGCATATGTGCACGTCTGCCCTCTCACAGCCTCGGGGTACAACTAACAAAAGGTTTTTATGGGGAGTGGGGGTGTTTACGGGTGATTTGATTTTATTTTCGTTTATATTTTCAAGTGTTTTTTAAAAATGAAGTGTGTTACTCAAATACACTTTCAAAGTTAAGGAAAAAAGCCTTAGGGATCAACAACACAAAACCAGCGGCAAACTGGGGAAAATAACGTGACCTGTTCAGCCGTTAAGACAATTACCAGGAAAGTCAGCTCTGGGGGCTGGTGGGCGCGTCGCCCCTGCACCAAAAGGTGGTGGGTTTGATTCCCAGTCAGGGCGCACACCTAGGTGGCAGGTTCAATCCTCGGTTGGGGCATGTATGGGAGGCAACCAATAGATGTTTCTCTCTCAGAAAAAAAAATTAAAAATCAATAAAAACCATATCTTCAGGTAAGGATTAAAAAAAAAGAAACAATTACCCTCAAAGGGGCAAGTGAAGGGGCTGGGTCCCAACACCCTCCCAGAGCAGAGCCAGGCAGAGATCGCCTCGCTCTGCAGCCCCAGTAGGGCTGGGGTCCTGCCCGGGAAACCCCACTGTAATCCTGATATGCAAGGAGTGAGCTGTGACATCAGGTCCTTGAATACATTGCTTCTGCCAAAACTATTGTCGGGGAGGACGCCTTGCACCCCCTGCGCTCCAGGGACTCTCCTGGCGCCCCAACTGCCCCCCGCCAGGACATACTCAGCAGTGAGCCATCACGGTGGCAGCAGCTCCCCACATAGGTGCCCTCCTGGATCCTGCACTGCAGGCTGGTGGCTCTGGGTGTCACCGAGATGTCCCTTCTCACAGGTGTGGAGGTGGCCTGGATGCCCGGCCTGGGCTCCTCTAACCGGCATGCGTCCGCGGGGCCAGCTCCCAACCTGGGAAGGATATAGCCAGGACTCTCTCTGCTACTCACATCATCACATGCTGAGGTGTCAGACGGTTCTGTTGGATTGAGGCCGAGACGGGTCTCACATAACTGCCGGCCTTCGCCAAGATTGAAATAGGTGCCAGTCAGCAGTAGCAGCTCCCTGTCGTCCAACACCTCTGCCCTGTGCCCGTGCAAAGCGCTCACATCTACATCGGAGCCAGCCAGCGAAGGGGAGGCTGTCCCCAAGAGCTCAGAAGAGGCACAGGAACAGTTGGAAGAAGTTCGGTCTGCCCACTCGCTATAAAGCACGTCCTTCAAGTTCCAGAAAAACGAATTCCCATCGGCCTCCGGGGCATCCACTGCATCCAGGACACCCGGGAGGTCTGTGGCTAGGGCGTAGCAGGCTGAGGAGCTGCCCGAGTGGCCACTATACAGGTCTCTGCCTCCCAGGTCACACAGCGACACAGGGGCGGAAAAGTGAGTAGGCTCGGCCGGGATCAGCTCAACAGAGGTGACACCGCGAGGTCCCCCAAAGCGCGACTTGGACAGCCGCTCCTTCAGTAAGCAAGTCTGCAGCTCCTCCCTGTCATCCTGCACTCCCGGCCACTGCTCCTCCAAAGTAGGCATAGAGAGCAAGTGTTGCGCTGATCCTGAGGGACCCAAGGGACTGGGGACCACAGCCAGGCTCATCTGGGGCGTGCTCCGCTCAGCTCCATACCCCGGGTGCAGCACCAGGAGGCCTGCCCCTGCCGACTGCCCCGTGGCATCAGCCAGATGGATGGAACTGCTCGCAGTGCTTGAACCCATGCACCCCCGCTGTGCTTCCTGGGACAGGCCACACACTTCACCCTGGCTGCTGTCCTCAGCCGGGGTCAGCATTTCAGAATCTTCACAGGAAGCAAACTGTCGTGTGTCCACTGAGGCAGACCTGCTTCCCCCCAAAAGCTCCTGTCTGAGGTTCTCTGTTCCTGTGGGTTCCTGCTTCTCCAAGACAGTGTCCTGCTGGTCCTCAGGCAATGACAGCTGGCAATGGTCTGGTGGGTTTCCTTCTGGAATGTTCCGCTCGTCCTCAGGCGATGGCCGTTCCTGGGCTGGTGGGCTTCCTTCTGCAATGCTGTCCACCCTGGGGATTATAATACAGATAACACAGTTACTTAGGAACCACAAGAGTCAAAAATAGAGATCACATGAATTTCCCTCTATGAGACACAAAGCATTTAACAAAATAAACTTATGACAGAAAAAAAAACTAAATTTTGTAATTAAGTTAAAAAATAAAGCACCAACATATTTCCAGCTAATCACAGGTTGAGCAACGATTAATCAGTCAAAGCCAGAAAATATGAGACCACATGCTGAAGTTTCACGGGGGGCAGGAACAAAGGGAGAAGGGACTGGAGCATTTCAGACCCCGCATGAAATTAGACAGTGACTGGCCACAAATACCATCCAACTTGATAGCCAATGGAAGGACCACGAGGCTAGCGAGAGCAGGGCCTGGTGTGGGGGTCAGCTGGTTCCGAAGAGCTGGAATGCAGCCCACGAGCCCATTCAGCATGGGGTGGGGACTGAGGAAGAGGCTAACACTGTACAGACAGGTCAACTGAGGGGAGACCTGGGTCAAGACCCCTCCGGGTGGCCCAGCCGCTGTGTACATGAGCGTGTGCATATGGGTACACGCACACAGAGCAACATGCACGGTGTGGTCCATTTGTGTACATGAGTGTGTGCGTATGTGCACGTGCACAGGGAGCACACACACACAGTGATCTATTTTGTCAAAGGAACAGGGCCGCTCTACATGAGCACACAGTTTCCCCGCTGCACAGGAAACAGTCTCGAAGGCGACAACTGCTAACAGCGGTTCCCTCCGGAGGAGGTTGGGAGACAGTCACTGGGACTTTTACTTGTTACCAATATTCTTCTGTACTTTAAAAAAGTACACGTTCACTCACATATTACATATTTTTAAAACAATTTCAAGAAGACTGAAAAACACAACACTGTGGATAAATCTTCCAGACACAATGATCAAGAGAACCCAGACACGGGGAATGCGTAGGTCAAGCTCAGGGACAGCCCAGGATCTGCATCCAGGCCCCAGGGCAGTGAGGGCACCGAGTCCTGGGCAAAGCAGAAAGGCCCACCCCCACCCAGTGTGGCACATTACTGCCTGTTATGCATCAGATTTTTAGGGAGAAAACTGGTTGAAAACACACCAAAATGCTGTATACAATAGAATGTGATAAATGAATAGGGGACTTTTTATTCCTACTTTTCTAAATTTTCCAAACTCCCTAATATGTACTTCCTTTAAATAGAGTACCTTTCCATTTAAACACACACAAAGAGAACAAATTCATACAATTTTTAAAATGAGAAAATTGTGCTTCTATCAGTTCCCTGGAACCTACATAAATGTTTCCTTCCAGGTGAAATGGGGCTGTCACACAGAGGCTGCTGGGGAGCACCAGGCAACCTGCACCTTCCAGAGGACTTACCCAGGAGTGGGTGGGGATGAGAGGGGAGAAGGAAGCTGGGCTCCAGTGTCCACCTGGGCCCGGGTCCCCTTGACGGCCTCTTGGCTTCCCCCTGGCTTTGGGGTCCTGTCTGGGGTCAGCATGTGATCACCAGCCAGCACGACATTAACCCCTGGATTAGTGACAACAGCAAAAACAGTGTTTTCCGTTTGTAGGCAACCCTGCTGAGATGAAGCTCCTCATGTCCCAGTGACTCATGTCCCAGTGGGGCTGGGGTAACCTGACCTACTAAATTCCACCCGCCCCATATTCGCAGCCTGTCCCGGATGCGGCCACCTCTGGCCACCCCACAGATACCCAGTCCAGGCCAGCACCCTCTGCCCACCCTGCTGCATTGTCCTGGGCCCTGCACTTGGCCAGCATGACCCCACTAACACTAGAGTCGGCCCAAGGCCCTCTAAGAGTTCCGCTCTGACTCGGGATAAAAGCCACCATCCCTAAGATGACCCCCACAGCCCTGCCACCCAACTCCTGCTACTCTCCCCACCCGCCAGCTAAGGGCAGTGAGAAGGCAGCCAGGGAGCAGGAGTGGGCAGAACTGGGTACAGCTTCTCGCTCCTTGTCAAGGGAAGGTGAGAACCCAGGAGGCTGTGGGGCTCCCCACTCCTTCCCTGCTCCTTTAAGCCCAGGCACCACTGCCACAGCCAAGGTCCAGAGCAGGGTCCCCTCAGGGAAGGAGCTGTGAGCTCTCAGTCCTCACTAGACACTAACACAGTCACGGAGTGGCACCCAGGGCAGGTGCGGGAATAACTTTAAATGTTAAATTAAAAGTACAGTGGGCCTAGCCGGTGTGGCTCAATTGGTTGGAGCATCACCCGGAGCATCAAAGGTGGTGGGTTCCATCCCGTAAGGGTGCATACGAGAGGCGACGGGTCGATGTTTCTCTCTCAAATAGATGTTTCTCTCTCTCTCTCTCTCTATCCCCCCCCTCCCCACACTCTAAAATCAATAAATATCTCATCCTTGGGTGGGGGGGAGATTAACAAAAATTAGAAGTACAGTGACTAACATGATGAAGAAACCCTGCTGTGACTTTAACTTCGGGCTAACTTGATAGGCTATAACAGTTCAACCTCGAACTACATAAAACTACATAAATCCACTTCCAAGAGACAGCAATAGCTACAGTGTCCTACTTACGGCCTACAGGGACAGACAGGCACATGGGGGAGTTCTGGTCCTACCCTCTGCCACATTAGTGGGACACAGACGTGTCCTGTCCCAAGGAAACCCTGAAGGCCCAGAGACACACGGAATCCACGCACACAATCCTCGCTCACTCCCCATCCCAACTGGCACTCCCAGGCCCCAGCTCCCTCCTGTCCCCAGTGGAGGCTCAGGCAGGCTCCCTGAGAGAAGGTGGCCCAAGCTCACCCTTGGCCGTGGTCCAGCTCTGCAGGGGGTCCATGGTGGTATCCCCAGGCCCACTCGGGTTGCCCATGTCCAGGCGGCTGACCGGGTCTGGCAGTGGTAAGGAGCTGTCGTATGCAAGGTCCATGTAGCGGTAGAAACCAGGGATCAGAAAGGTGATGTTCTAGAAAACAAACAGCAGCACTCAGAACCAGGAGAATCCTGACCTGCCGGACCACCCACCACCCCTCCTGGGGGGTGGAAACAAGGTGTCTGGCTCTGGGATGTCATCTTCTAGGTGAGGGAGACCCCTCTGATGCTCAACATGGAATTTGTGACTTTTCCCCTTTTTCTTGTAAAAGAGAGAAAACACACTCTGAAGCTAGTTCTCCAACACCCACTCACTCTCTGAGCCATGTCTGGCCTTGGGCCCATGCTCTTCCCAGGCCTGGGAGCCAATGTTTGCAAGCTTCCTATTGCATGTGTCCTGGCACAGGCCCTTGGGCAGCAGGAAACCAACCCCTGGGGTTCAGCAGGGGCCTGCACTGCTGGCCGTGACCCCAGTGTGAGGGTTTCGGGCCCAGGACTGCAAGGATGGACACTTTCTCTGAACCTGTGTGCAGCCCCTACTCTCAGGATGCCCTCGGCCGGGTGAATCCAGAACACGTTCCCACCTATACACTCTGAGGGACCTGCCAACCTCAACGCTCCTGCGGGATCCAGTGTCCAAAAATCATGCCAACTGAGTACTAACTTCAACTAAACTATGAGCCTGGGGAGGACATCACCCCAGCCGACACCATGTGGGACAGAATGGGCCATCCCATTTAAAACTCAGCTCAAAGGGATGATTTATGACCAGAACACATGACTGCCACTTGGGCACTAACTGACATAGGACCACTCAGCAGTCTGGGGTGAGAACAAGGGTGGTCACCACCCCCAGCGCCTGGCCCCTGATGTACAGAGACTCCCATCTCCCACCTTCAAGAAACTGAGAGAACACCCAACCAGGGAAGGTCACAGACACACCTTCCTCCCAACAACAGGCTCAACAGCTCATGCCCATGGCTGTGAAACAGACCCCAGCCCGGATCTCAGGCCAGACCCACTCAGGACGGGGGCTTTGAGGCCAGAGCCCCTCCCTCTCCTGGGGAAGCTCTGGAGATGGTCTAGGGGGTCAGAGCACTCAACATGGGGTCTAGAAAAATGAGTGGGCAAGTGGGGCCATGAGCAGAGAACTCCTTTCGGACGACGTGCCCCCCGGAAGATGGCAGCCAGATGAGAAATGTGGAAGCACGGTGCCAGGGGCGAACGCACACCCTCACATGGGACATAGACCAGCTTCCCCACAGGGGATGTGGCCTGCCACACAGAGGCCCACCTTGCCCAGGAGCTCAGCCCTCCCGTAACCGAACAGCATCAGGGCAAAGCTGTGGTTGATGCCATAGATGGTCCCATCCGACAGAAGGGTGATGAGGCCACTGATGGTGGAGAACACCCAGATGGACGCTGAGTAGCCCCGCTCAGGAGCAGCCTGCCCGGCTTCTACCTCCTTGCGGCTGGGCTTAGGTTTCAGCTTTAAGCTCAGGGGGAACGTGGCACCATCCTTGGCTCTTCCGACAGACCTCTGAACCCTGAGATTCTGAAAGAAAGACACACCACTGAGCAAACACCCCACGCGCCGAGCCCTGGGTCTCTTCTGCTTTAGATCACCTACCGCATGCCCAGCATGGGGGCTTCCCAACATCCAGGGCCCCACACCTCCTCCTCCCTCCTCGGTCTCCCAGGGAAGCCAGGGCAGGAGTCAGGGCCCACCTGGGGGACAGGCTGGCCAGGGGCAGGGAGCTGCATGGAAGGGACCAGGTCTGTGATGCGCTGCCCGGCCACTTCGTCCACACTCTCGTAGCCGTGCAGGTGGGCAAAGACGCTGTCGCACGAGGTGATGGTTCCCTTGGAGGAAAAGCCAGCACTGTGATAACAGCTTCTTGTACCTCAGCCCACACTCATCGAACCTGTGACACCTTCCAGCTACTCCTCCTGCAAGAGGCACACGTGGACTTCTACCAGGCCGGCTGGCTCCCCCGGCCACACGGACCTCAGCTGTTCAACCTGAGGCATCTGCAGAGCCCAGCGCAGCGCAGAGGCCCTCAGCTAGTGTACATCCCGTCCACAGCTCACACCTGCATGCGGCCTGCATGCGGCCACCATCCCGAGGGCCTTACCTATACCGTTTCATTGAAGTGTTAAAACAATCCCGTGAGTGGATACAATCATATCCTGATTTTACAGATGAGGAAACTGAGGCACGGTGAGATAGGGTTCCTTGCTCAAGGGCATGATTACTAAGGGGCTCAGCAGATGGGGACAACCCTCCAGAACCCCAACATTGTTGCTGCCCAGAGGCCCACAGAGGGAACGGTGTGTGTGACATGCTGGGGAGGAGATGTGTGGTCAGGCTTGTGCAAACTCACGTCGCTCTGGAAAGACACCCAGGCCGAGACCCTCTCCACAGGCTCCAGCACGACCACGCAGCACAGGCGGGGCTCCTGCCTCACCCTCTTCATCCACACGGACACCGGGATCCTCTCCTGGCTGCGGCTCACGACCTCCACCTGTGAGCAGGGACAAGCTGCACCTGCCGCCCCCCAGCTCCAGGCCCTCCCCACTCCAGGCACTTGGTGCTTTCAGGCTCTGCTCACCTGCCTGTCATTGGGAAATCAACCACAGTGCAGACAAGGTTTCTGCCACTGAACCTGACGATCCCTGAGTGCGTGTCCTACCAGAGGACTAGATCCCATTATCAGCAGTATCTGTACCTTCTCACAGAAAGACGCAACACGTGCTGCGTCTCTTCCTCTTCTCAACCGTAAGTCCCTAAGACGGGTAACTTTTCCGGTATAGTGGGCTCTGTCTAACTTCTTCCTATGCCTGAGGCCCAGCATCTAACATGCAGATCAACCCATCAACGTCCAGACTGGGCATGTCCCACGGGCCAGCCCCCAACAGCACCAAACAGCACGTTTCTCTCTCAGGACCCTGAGGTGGAGCCTGCAGGTTTGCAGGTGCTGTCAGGCCGGCTTCTGCACAAGCAGCGCCAGGCTAGGCCAGCGGCACAGCTTCTGTTCCTGTGGTGTCCCC